TTATCTACATTTTTATTATCATCATTTTTTTTTCTTCTTTTTTTTCTTTTTTTTTTCTTTCTTTTTTTTCATGTTTTTTTTTTAATTATATACAATCCCTTTCCCTTAGTTGTTACCTTTAACAAAAGAACATAAATAATGTAATAATCCAATATGCAACCCACAATCATATGTTAAAGTGTGTGTGTGTAAATTAAGGTTTAAGAATACATGTTAAATAAGTATATGAGCAGAATTAAGTGGTAACAATACGAGAGTTTGTAAACCTGAACCAAACGAACCACACACTAATATAATGGCCTGACATTTGACCATATATCGGTATGGTTCTTTCTAGCCGATTGACACCATAACAACTTTAGCACTGCCCTAAATAGGCCAACTCAGGTAACCTTGAGTTGCCAAAATCTGACATTTCATTATGAAAACTTTGAACCAATGGTTGAGATCCTTTTGATTCAAATCAAATTTCAATATTTAGCACCAGTAAAGATAAAATCTCTCTCTTCCACCTCTATAAATAGAGGTGGATTTTATGCCCTCAGAAAAGAAAAATCAAGGTTTAAAGTTGACAAAAAAAATCATCCTCCTCTAATTTTGTTTCAATTGCTAACCTTTCTCTTGCCTCCTCCACTACCACAACTTTGTCTTCTTCAAATACCAACGACGACCTAACATCCTTGCAAAGCCATCTCCTCGCCGTAACCATTGCAAGCTTCTCCTTTTCCACCGTGAACTTCTTCTTCTTTTTGCACCACAACAACCCAGCCACCAACACTTCCACACTTCTCACGCCAGACTAGTGACGACAACCACAACTCTTGCTCCAGGTGAGCTTTTTCTTCCCCTTCCCTCTTTGTTTTTCTTATTTTTTCTACACATAAACATATAAAACATGAATTATAATTCATGTTGTTTTATTTACAATGCAATTTAGTCACTGGGCTAAGCCAATAACTAAGTTCTAACCTATATGGTTGGGTTATGTCCAACTCACTAAAAATAAAAGAGAGAAACTTGTTGGGCTGCCAATTCGCTTGGCCCCATTTCAACCCAGCTTGGATAACTAAGTCGAGTCTAGTCTAATTTATATTTAAAAAATATTATAATATTAAAATATTAAAAAAATTCAAACTTTCAAAGGGTATTTAAAAAAAATATTTGTGGACCTCTCACATATTCTCCCAATAATTTTGTATAATATCATGCTATAGACTTATATTGTAAGATACAAACCCGGTATTAAAAATACATGATTTTCTCTAAAACTTAAAAAAAAAATTTCATTTACAAAAATATTTTGTTTTCATGTATATAGTCAAATTCTAAAATGTTTCCAAGCATATTTTCATTAAAAAAAGTGCAACTTTCTCATGTTTTAAAATGTAAAATTGATATCATAACTAGTTTATGATTATCCATTAGAGTTTAACTAAAATATCAAAAATCTTTCTCTAATTATTCTACTCATTTTATATTTAAAGTGTTAAGATTTAGTTATAGATTTTAGAATTTTGAGGTATAAAACTATAATGTATAGTATACCCTTATATATTTAATAAATGCGATGCTAAAAAAAAAAGACATAAACATGACTTAGAAAAACAATCAAACAACAATTTAACTTATCTTAGGTAAAATGCACTAAGGGTAATGTGTTTTTCCTTTGTACTACTAGCCTTTTACATGGGCTCTCATGGATTTTTATGTTTCTTAGTAATCATAACACTAGGTAGTGACTCATGAACCTTATAATTATAATTTTATGATTAAACCCAAAATTCATTTCTAACATCTTTCAAGAGATAGACTCGCTGTTCTCAATTCCACCCCTTATGACACTCCTTAAAATATATTTTTTAGGATAGACTTAAAATATGTTTTCTTAATTAAGGTTAATAAAAAAATCTAGTTGAATGTACCATAAAGATAAAAAAAAAATCAATATGGTTTATTACTATATATATTTATTTTGCGATAACTTACCAAAAATATTTTGTTCATGAACTTTATCTTTATTTAAGGAAATTGAATATCTTTTAATCAAGCTCTCAATTATAACGAACATATACTATATTAATTAAGAATCTCTATATAACAACTATAACCTTACATTTCATATAGATTTTGCTTTGTTTATTTTCCCATGAAGATATGGGATTTGATTGATTTGTTTTGGTGGTTGGTGAGGGAAGAAGAGATAATGACAAGGTGAAGAGAGAAGACTCGGTGTTGGTGAGAAAGGGAGGAAGATGAAGAATTACGTTAATGCTGGCAAAAGGAGATAATGGCTAAGGGCTATAAATTAGTATTGTCATAAAGGAAGAATAAGAATAATTGGTGGGTTTTGGATAGGGAGAGGAGGATGAAGAGTGGTTAGGATTTTCGCTTGTGGGAGAGGAGAAAGAAGAATAAGTTCTTTTTTATTTTTTTTTATTTTTGGTAGCCTTTTTTTCTTTTTTTAGTTGGGCTTTATTTATGTGGTGCGGTCTGCGTTTTGCCCTATTAAAAAAACTTGAAAATACTTGGTTAATCAAAATATATCATATTTTTGCATGGGTCTTACAAAGATCTTTATCTTGAAACCTTGATTAAGAAAAAAAAATATAATTTATAGTTTTCTTAAACTTTTTTTTTTGAACTGCAAAAGCTATTACAATGCCAAATACACACTTCAACTTCTTTCCATGTCTACATGTATGTGTATGATTGTTTTCTCCCTTTGCTGTATCTAGACCCATATATCTCAAGCCTATATTTATAGTATTGAACCTTCTAGAAAATAAAAAACTAATTGTTAATTCAAATATTTTTTTATTTTATTTTTCCTCTTTAATAAAAAACTAAGATTTAAAGGATTTTAAAGATTAGTTTTTCCATTCCTAACTAGGGAGGATCTTTTCTTTTTCTTATAGACTTTAATATCTTCGGTAAAAACTTTCCATGTAGTTCATGTCAACTACCCTATTCCCTATCATATTTGAATCTTCATTTTATAAAAAAATAATCATTTTCTATTTCAAAATGTGATCTTGCATTATATTATAAGATCTTTTAAAAATTTGTTGTTTATTTTGGTCCTCTATTTCTTTCTTACTTGTTGTTTCACTCTATAATCTTTTTTCTTTTTTAAAATGTTTTTATGTATTTTCAAAATAATAGGGGTAAAAAATGGGTTATGACTATATTTCTTAAATAAAATTGGTTTCTTTGCTCATAGCTATGTTATGTATGAAAGAGATTTATCCAAATTTTGTTGAAAAATTAATGGAGCATAACATGATTTATACTAGAGATTTAAGTGAAGAAGATGATTCGTCTTCTTTAAATAGACATGATGGAGCAAAGGTTTTTTCATAAAAAAACATGAGTATAATGATGACTTGATTTATTCTAGAGATTTTATTGGAAAAATAGAGGATGATGGCTTGATTAAAACATTGGGATGTGTAAATTGAATACTAGGAAGAAATTGATAAAAAAAAAAAAAGTGAGTTGCAATGAATAAAAAAAGCATTGCTAAACTTAACCTTGATGTATCTTGCTCTTAGATTTCGAAACCAAACAAACTAGGAGAGATACAAATGATTATCTTGTTAGAGAATAATATAAATTACATACTGAGACCTCACCTAATAAGTTTAAGCTTTCAGGTTAAGATGATCCTTTAACATGGTATCACAATTTTGTTAATAAAGTGATCACGAGTTGAAATCTTATCACTTCCTTCTAATTAATAAAAATTAAGCACAAAATAGTATGGGCCCGTGCAAGTTTTAAATTCAAAAGGGCTTTTATTTAAGGGTGTGTATAAATGAATAATATAAATCATATTTTGGAACATTACTTAACAATTTAAACTTTTAGATTGAGATGATTCTTTATTATATCCAACTCCAATGTATCTTGCTAACAAACCAGAAGTGATAATTCTTAAAACACAAACTCTAAGCAATATACAAAAAATCAAACTTCTTAAAGAGATTATTAAAGTTGCTAAAGATAACAAGGTATCACTTGTTATCATAATAGGGATAATAGAGATATGCGACCCTTTACCTAACCATGACGTATCTTGCTAACAAATTTGAAGTGATAATTTTTAAAATATAAACTCTAAGCAATATACAAATATTGAACTTCTTGAAAAGATTGTTGAAGTTGATAAAGATAATAAGGTATTACTTGTTACCATAATATTGATAATAAGAAAATGATTTTTGTTGATCTTGTGGTATTCAAAACCAAATGAATCTCATGAATTAAGGTTAATTTTGTATTGCATATAAAGCATTGGATGAAATATTATTATGAAAGTTTTAGCTCTTTTTTAATCTTTTATAAAGTTATAATATTAGTTTGATGGCAAAGTAGTAATTATATGTTTGATAGCAAAGTTGTAATATTAATATAGTAAAAAAAAATTTTGTCATTAATTAGAATATAATTATAATTTTGTAAATAATTCAATTTTTTTTTGTTGATGTTTTTTGACGCACCTATGCAAGGACATAAAGTGTTATCAACTTATAAATTTTAGAATGTAAACTATAATTTCTAAAAGAATAAAGCTAAAAAAAATTGACTAATTTGCAGATTTTCTCTAAGATAAAAAAAAAATGCTCCTTAAAATATGTTGTCCCTTTTTTTGCGGATAGAATTAAGATATGTTTTTTTTTAATTAAGGTAAAAAAAAACATGAGCCAAGGTACCATAAAGATAAAAAATAAAAAAATCAATAAGATTTAATACTATATGTATTTATTTTGCGACAACTCACCAAAAATATGTTGCTGACGAACTTTATTTAAGGTAGTTGAATATTTTCTAATCAATCTATCAATTGTGTCAAATATACTACATTAATTAAGCATCTCTATGCAGCAACCCTAGCCCTCCATTTCATATAGATTTTGCTTTCTTCATTTTCCTATGGAGACAGTATTTGATTGATTTTTTCTTGGTACAAACACAGTATATGATCACACCGAGTTATTTCAATGGAAAAGAAAAATGCGTTTGCCCCTAAAATTCACCAAGGCCATGCTTCGGTAACTATAAGTGTTGTGCTGTAAGGGTTTTTTTTGTGATCTCTTCCTTTTGTTTTCTCTGATAAGGTTTTTTTTTTTTTATTGCAGAGGTTTTATTTGAAAGTGAATATTCAGTGTTGTTCAGCCTGTCCTAGGAGGGCGAAGGAAAAGTTGGAGAAATTCTCTGGTTCTCTTTTGCACCCATTTCATTCCATATATTTCTTTTAGTAAAGAAACATGCTTTATTTCAATAAATATGAATGTAATATCTCTGGTATCAAGAGCTTGCTTGATGTTTTTATGGGCCATCATGGTCTAAGATTGTCTCATCAGCTTAGCCAAATGTATTTTTTTGCAAGTAAATAAGCAACTGGGTTTCCATTTTTTTACTAGTTCTCAGTAGAACTCGTTGTTGTTTCTTCCTTTTATTTTGTTTTCCATTTGCCAGGAGTGCTTGCAATCACCATTGATACAGAACAAGGTTTGGTAGCTGTGACAGGCACTATAGACCCTCAAATAGTTGTACAGAAATTTGCAAGGTGGGGCAAAAAAGCAGTGCTTTGCTCCCCCGAAAAGGACCCTGTCGAAGGAGACTCATCAGACTGTTCTTGCTGTGACGATGACTCCGATTGTGAATGCGACTGTGATCGAAATTATGATGAAAAAGTATCTAAAAGCCAAAATATTGGTACTACTGGGGCCAAACTTCCTATTGTTTCTAGCACCAAAAAGAGAAAAAAACTTTGCTGGCTTCTGGGTTTGTTTCGTAAATTGCAGGATGCTGCTAAACCCAAATTGCAGGATGCTGGAGCCAAGCTGCCTCATGGGGCTCCTCCAATTTTCAGGCCCAACAATTCTCTAGGAATGTCTGCTATGCCTTACGGAGCCTCAAGACCACAGTTCCCACCATGTTGGGAGAGGCCACAATATGGAAGTCAAATTCATGGACCAACTGTGTACGGGAGTCCAGCTATGCTACCATATCCACATCATATTCAGCCAACGTACCCACCACCAGTACTTCAGCCACCTGCTTTTTTTCAGTCAAGACCTCCACCACATTATAGGCCCATGATCCATTATTCCAGATATGAAAACAACTATGTTTAATTGGTCAACCGCTTGAGACAGCCTTATTTCTTGTTTATGACCAAATTAGGACTACCAGTTTGGTAACGATGATATGTTATGATTCCATTCTCCCTAATTTTTTCAAATCTTTCTATTTTTCATCTTGTGGATCCATAAATGTTATATAATTAGTACTTTGATGTAGAGTGATTTTTAATTGTAAATATATTAAAATAATATTTTTTTAGATTAATTTTTTACTTTAGCATGTCAAAATTACTAAAAAAACATTTATTGAAATCTATATTAATTTGATGTTGATAAATACTTTAAAAAATAAAAATTAGTAGAATATTAAATATGTATTGAGTGTGTTTGGCATTGTGATTATTTTTACATTATAATTTGAAAAATAATACAAGTTTAAAAACAATATAAATTACAATTTTTAAAAAAAAAATAAGTTTAAAAACCTGTTTGTTTTTATGTTTCAAAAATGCTTTTAAAAAAATTTAAAAATTTTTTCTTTAAATTAATATTTTTTTATATTTTTCATATTATTTTGATATGCTCATATCAAAAGTAATTTATAAAAAAAATAAAAATTAAATATTATTTAAATAAATTTTAAAATAAAAATATTTTAAAAAATAATCAAAACTACGTTTTAACCCACATAATAAACCGGCAAAAAATAACCCCAGCCATTAACCCACGTAATAAACCGGCAAAAAATAACCCCAGCCACAGAAACCAAAAACAAACAACGCTAAAACGGTATTTTACTTGTAAACACATCAAGGCTAAACAGACGTAATGGCAAGCTTAAGTTTTTTCAAACTTAGCTAGAACTTTAATGGAGATTTCCAGTAATATAACAATAAAACTGTGAAAGATGTGTGCCTTGTCTTAGCCATAGTTTTCGGCCAGTAAATAGTCCAAGAAGATCATATACAATTAATGCTAGAAAGCTGTTTATTCAAGGCTTGGCTCTTGAACTCAGCTGCTCTTCATGTGGACATCATCATTCATGTATGCGGAAGAAACTAGCAAGACGACGGCTAATACATAGCTGTATAATTTGTTAATTCTTACGCATGGAAACAAGAAACAAATTAAATTTGTTTTGTTCCTCGGGGATCCTATCAACCGATTACAGACAGTCATTAACTACCTGCTTATTTGTTTTTCTCAAGAAAAAAATAAAGAGCTACAAGTTTCTCTTGCGCCTTAGCGTTTAAATTCCAAGTTTTTGCTTGCACTAAAAACAGTGCATGACCTGGTCTAAAGAACAAGCTTCTGGGTTTTTGTTTTTATTTTGAGAAGAAGCAGTTCTTATCCGCACTTTCTTGAATTTTTAGTGGTGGGATATACTGATATATTCCAGGGCTTCTTCGTCTGCACAAAGTCCTCGCTCCTAAGTTTGGCTGTGAGTTCAGGACGAAGCTTCAGTGTTGTGATCAGTGATCAGGATTATGCTCAAGTAGGCCTGCATGCCTAGCCACTGTCAATGAGCTCAACTCTGCAAATGCATTCAAGACTTGGAAGTAAACAAAGCTGTACACGGCCAGATTGCAAAGACAGAAGCTATACTTTTTTGAAGGGTTGGATGATTTATTTCACTAAATATACGGAATTAAAATTATTTAAAAAAATAGAAAATTTTAAATTATAACCCTTTAAAAGTTTTTCCCAATTTGGGCCCCCATAATAAAATCCCTAACTTCCCCGCTGCTCAATGGGCCGCAAAGGGCCATTGATCCTGGCTAGTTATTGTATTACCCTAACTGCAATCTAGCTAGAAACTTTTGCATGCATGTGTAGCTGATCTTAAAGTTCTTTCAGGGCTACTGACATGAACTAAGCCTGAACGTTTCTGATTTGACTCTCTATGCACAGAAAAACTACAAAAAAAGAAGAAGAAATTATTGTAAATCACAGCCTTGTATATATCATGATTTAAAGGTTTAAGTAAAAGGGGATATACGCATAGATATTTCATCCTGGATTTATAAAATAATTTAGTTGTTGACAAATACAAGAGAAAGCTTTGTCAGCGAGATTGGACAAACACTCTTGTTCATTTACATTGTTAATGGAAATGTTTCCATGCCATGAGGCAAGTTTTTGATTGGCTAGATAGGAATGAATGAATGGATGGAACGTGATTCAAAAATGGCTTTATGTAATCTGTGATGGTTAAGTGGCGATGTTTTGTGAGCGCGGTTAAAATTATATTTTTTAAAAATTTTAATAAAATATTTTTTAAAATATTTTTAAATTATTTAAAATATTTTTCAAAATATTTTTAAATTGTTTTAATATATTAATATTATATTTTAAATAAAAATATATATATTTAAGCAAAAACACTTTAAACCACAATTTCTATCATACTTTAACACACCCTTAAATGAAAAGATTGTTTTTCAAGCAACAATATTTTGAATCAAAATCTCTATCACATTTTAACTCACTCTTAAATAAAAAGATTGTTTTTCTTTAATTGTGAATCTTTAAATTTTAGGTGTTTGGGTTGGTTTGTTGGTTAAAAAAGTTAATTTTTTTTATTCAGTATTTAAATAAATTTATTTAAAAAAATTACGTCAGATCAAATGTAAGTTTTTAAAATCATTTATAAAAGTAATAATTTATTATAGTAAAATAGTGAACCAAAAATAGTTGTATTGTTTAGACACACACGTATATAAAAGAAGATGCCGCCTAAGAGCAGAAGGAGTTAGGGACAAGCACTTCATTCCTTCGGCAAATCCAAGGCCTAGGCGGCGCCACCGACGACAACCTTGCCCGTGTCTCCTTTTTTGTCCTCTTTTTCCCCCCTCCTCTCCATCCACCCCATTTTCTTTTCTTTTTCGGTTTTTGCCCACCATTGTATACACTTAATCACATATTTCGCTCTTGTAAAATCAATGGGACTTTGATTTTGTAAATTAGCAAAACTACCCCACCAATCCTAACCACGATCGGCTCTAGCTTAGTATTGATTTTTCTTATTTAAGAAGAAGAGTCACTCCTTGATTTCGTTATTTATAATTTCAGTGAAATGGGATTTTTTATAATCGAATGATTTATGTTCTAACCCGTTAAGATTGTATTAAGAGGGTTAATTTAAATTGCCGTGTTAGAATATGTCGTCTAGTAAGACCACCTCCATTCAATAGAAGCCTTCATGTCACAGTACTCATACAGTAAAAAGGATAAAGTTTTGTCTTGCAAAATGATAAAATAATATATTTTTTTTTAATTATTATTTCTTGTAAATGTGTTGATGATGTGTGTGTCTATATATATATATATATATAAGCCCTCCTCGCTAGTCTAGTATAAAGAGACAATTGTAATTCTTCTTGTCATAATGCATATGGTAAAGTCCTTTTCAGAATATTGCATTGTTGAGGTCCTTGTCCAAATTGCCATTTTCAGTGGGCCCATATCCCTCCTTTTCTTTTCTAAAAAACAAAAAAAAAGAAAAAAAAAAGAAGGGAAAATCGTGCCTCTCTTCGTTATATATTATCACAACTCTCCAATTGCCTCCCTTCGTTATATATTATCACAACTCTCCAATCAAGTATTGACTATTCATTGTACTTTCCAATTTAAGCTGTTACAGAATGAGAAAGGGTCCACTTATTCCAAACTCTCTTGTTGAGCTGGGCCGGCCCAAGAAAGTGGGGCCCCGCCATGAAAATGTCATTTAGTGCAAGCACAAGCATTCCGCAGGGAGATGACAAATCAAGTCCCTAGAGAAAACTGCTAAGCTTTGGCTGATTGCAGAGAAAGCTTTGTTAGGGGTGATAAAATTGGTGTCTTGAATCACTAACATCCAACGACCCGGCGTTGGATTAGCGTTTTGTCTCTGCCTCTCTTTCCCTTTCCGATGCATGCTATACAAAGAGACAAATGCCAAATTCTGTCCAAATAAAGAGAGAAAAAACAGCCCCCCTAGCTTTTCCCCTATAGCAACTCAAGGGGCTAGCTCTAGCTTCATATGAGAGAGCAGCATTGGAGAAACACCAAAAACCTCGCTTTCATTTTTTGTTTGCGCAAGGAATTGAGCAAAGTGTAGAGAGAAAAGATGATCAATGCTCTCTGTGGAAGCATGGGGTCTCTCAAGAGCGAGAACTCATGCAACAAGTTGCAACCAACTTCTCCAAACGAGTCATCATCAGTCACTGAATCTAAAAAAACTACTCAGTCTTTTGAATTTGAACAAAATAGCCTAACCCCACCAAGCCTAAACTTACCTGCAGTCAAATTTGAGTTGGATGGAGATGTTGAAGTCCAGTCACCAGATAGTTCCATGTGGGAGAGCTTTTTCACTGATAATTTTGACTGTGACTTCATGATCTCATCTCCAGTGAGGAACTTGCCATCGCCACAAACTTCAAGCTACAATCACAATTATGCTCACGCAATGCAAGGGCAGAGTCTTTCAGGCTGCTCTCCTCCTAGATATTTATCTCAGCTTGGAGCTGCTTTTAGTAGTATCCACAAAGGGAAGGGGCAGAGTCCACTGCATAGAATGTGCAACTCTCCAAATAATCAATTCATGCAAGTTGAGAGCCTTTCTTCACCCGGTATTGAGGACTTCTTGGATGATTTTCAAAGAGATGGGTATGGAGAAGGATACCAACAACCACCTAAGATATCAGGCAGCAGTGGAAGTTCAACACAATTGTTTGATATGTCAACCACAGTTCCTGCAATGTTGGATTGCTTGACGATACAGAATCCCTCCAGGTTTTGTACTGGATCGGTGAGTGAAACATCATCAGGTTCACTAATGACACAGGAGAGCGATATTTATCAGATAGGTTCTGTTGGAATTGCACCATCATCACAGCAACTATTACAGGAAAACCAGCAGCAGCCGCAACCGCTGCCACTACCACCGACACAACCACAGCCTCCACCAACAACCCAATCCCTGCAACAGCAACCAGAGAGTTTTAACCATACCTTGATGGTATCTCTTCCTATTGGCTCTGAGCAGGTAATCTCACACCCCCCCCCCCCCC